ATTACACCTGGAGACTGGGCTGTACCTGGAGCCTGGGCTGCACCTGGAGGCTGGGCTACACCTGGAGGCCCCACACGGAGGCCGCATTGCAGGTGGAGGCACAGCTGGAGAGGGGTAGGGCAGGCCACATCCAGGCTGCACTGTGGTTCAAGCCTTCTACCTGCGAGCCCCTTGCAGGTGGCAGATGCTTACCACAGATGCAGCCTCCAGGGCCTCCCAGCGCTGCTGCCTCTGAGCTTCAGGAGGGGCCTGAAGATGTGCATTTTTATCACTCTCCCTGAAGGTTGGTAATGGGACTGATTCTAAGCAGGGCATAAGGGGTCAGTTGTGTCCTTGGCGGTGCTGATGGGGTGAGGGGGAATCCACGTGACACGGGGGTGGCCAGAGAGCTCTGGGTCAGGTGGAAGACAGAGGCCTGCCCAGGGAAGAGTGGGCGTCACCTGCGGCCAGTGCTCAGCGTCCAGTAGCCCCAGGCTCCATCAGAGCTCCCGCAGGGCCGCCAGGCACATGGGCAGCACCGTGTGGGGGAAGCCAAGGAGGAAGGCATGCGAATGCCCCATCCCAGCCTGGGGGGTTTGGGGGCGATGCTGGGGCCCAGGTTTAGGAAAATGAAGACAGGAAGTGGTGGGTTGGAGGGGAAATGGGGGTGCAGGGCTGAGGGGCTGTGGGGTACCCACAGGCCGCAGGAAGCTCACCCAGGGATCGAGGAGAGCTTCAGCAAGCCAAGACACAGCCCCGGCCCTGGACGTGTCAGGAACTTTATTTGTGGAAAGCAGAGAGGAGCCAGCCAGGCCTGAGATGGTGGAGTTAACATCTTCAGTTTTCCCACATTCCCCATCCTGAGGGTCCTGATGAGCCGTTGACACCAAACCTGGAGACCCCCACATCCCCCCTCCTGCCCACACCGTGCTTCCTTCCTGGGTGTGACCAGCACTTCCTGGGAGTGGGGAGGGAGAGCTTCTGCAGCCTCATCCCAGGGTCCCTGGGGCCAGCCCCATCAGGGGCCCTGTGCATCTCGTGACAGGCCTGGGCTTTGTCTGGGCCTGTCCCAGCACGGAGCTTATCCTGACAGCCAGGAGTTCAGGCGGTGCACCCACCCCAGGCCAGGCAAGGATCCGTGTTGAGTCACCTTGGGACATGGAGGCCCTCCTGGGGAGTGTAGCAGGGACCCCAACTCTCCAGGGCACTTGCCTTGGGCAGATGACCTCCATGGTGGACGAGCTGCTCAGGGTGACGCAGACAGGAAGGGAGTGGACTCCAGCCAAGAGCTCAGTCGCACAGGCCCAGCCCCTCACCTGATGGCCGAGGGTCCCAGGGGCTCCTCAACTCCAAGTGACCTGTGCCTCTCCTCTGGTCACCTTGACCCCGTCCAGTTCACAAGGTCATTTGTGGCAGGTTTGTAGCAGCCGTGAGGGGCAGTGGGTTCACCAAACCCCACTGTGCACCCCCAAGGCCCGGCATCAGCCTGAGTCCCAGACAGGCTCAGGGGAGGGAAGCCCCAGTTTCTGGGGGGCCGTTAACAGACTAGAGCTGCCCAGCCCGCGTGCAGTCAGTAGTGAGCCCCCAACTCAGCAGCCACCTTCTGGAGGAGGGTCTTGTGGTTCGCATAGAGCGGGACACGCCTGTCCACCACCTGCCATCGGATGGTGACTCCCGGGTCACAGGCATGCAGGTTCTGGAAGAACAAGGGCAGAGCTGACCCCGCCGGCCGTGCCTCCACCCAGCTGAGCCCACAGACTGCGGCCTTCCGGGGCCCAGGGCCTGCTGCGGGCTGGCCCGTGTGCCTCACTTAACTCCCCTGTGAGGTGAGAGGCAGGGCCCCTGCGACAGGGGCACCGGAGATGCACCCAAGAGGCCCTGGGGATCCCTCAGGGGAAGAAGATGGTGAAGCCTCGAGGGAGCTGTTTAGCCCCGTTTTCGCCCGGGGTTATTGTATGGAACTTTCCCATCCCGGTTCTGAATTAGGAGCCTGCAGCATTGATCCAAGTACGGGGAACCCACATCCCCATAAAGGGCTACCAGCAGGGAGCGGGGAGGGCTTTGCCAGCCTCACCACTGGACACCATCCCTGAGGCCTCCCTGGAGGACCCGGTCCCAGAACTGCACAGGGCCCTGGTGGGTGCCTGCCCGGCCCGGTCGGCTCCAGCCATGTTTGGCAGTGCCCCGGCCTCTCTCTGGTGCCCCCCTTGTCACTTTCTGGGCAAGACTCTGGCCCTGGGCCCCAGGAGCATGGCCAGGTCCCCCCACAAGAACCTCCTGGGGCACATCCAGAATCCGGACCCCTGCCCCCGCACTCCCCCGAGCCCATGCCCATACGGAGTCCAGCCTGTTGAGCTCCACGTCGTTCTGGTCTTGGAAGTGGATACTGACGGCCACCGTCTCGATCCAGGCGTTGTCTGTGTTCCTCGGGTCATCCACGTAGCCTTTGTACACCTGGATGGGCAGGGCAGGGTGAGCCGGCCAGCGAGGGACCCGATGGGTGCCCGGGCCCACCACGTGCCCTCCACCTGTCCCAGCCCTGAGCATGGCTGCCATCACGCACAGGCCCCTGGCCCAGCTCTCCCCACCCTCTGCCAGCCTGCTCGGGCCTGCGCAGCCGAGTGGCCCGAGGCGGGCATCGTCCTGGACAGATGCGTCTTGTCCTGCAGAGATCTTGGACACATCTGTTCAGTGAAGGAAGTCAGCCTCAGAAGCCACCTGCTGCAGGAGCCCACTCACAACACACTCCCAGAACCGGCAAATCCAATGAGATAGGAAGCAGATTCCTATCTCACTGGATTTGCCATTTCTGGGAGGGCAACTATCTAGAGGGGCAGTGGGTTCACCAAACCCCACTGTGCACCCCCAAGGCCTGGCATCAGCCTGAGTCCCAGATAGGCTCAGGGGAGGGAAGCCCCGGTTTCTGGGGGGCCGTTGACAAACTGGAGCTGCCCAGCCAGCCTGCGTCCTGGTCCCCTGGGAGCTGCGCAACCTGAGGCCGGGGGCCGGCACCACCGTCACCCGGAGAAGCTGGGTGGGACCCCATCACCCGGTGGGGCTGGGGCAGGCCCCAGTATCACACTGTGTTCGCCCTGCAGCCCTGGGGACGCCCACGTGGAGCAGAGCAACAGGCCAGTCCTACCTCCGAGCCACGCTTCAGCAGCTTCTCAAAAGACGGCCAGTGCTCCCGCCGGAGGATCTGCTTCAGCTTCTGAGGCAGCGTCTCCCCCGGCTCCCGGGAGCCCTGGACAGCAGAGGACAGGGCCAGGTCAGCAGGGCGCTGGGGCGGGACCCAGGCTGCCCTGGCACCACCTCCACTGGCCTCCTGCCTGGCGTGGGCAGTGGCCCAGCCCTGGGAACCACAGGCAGGCAGCGTCTCAGGCTGGAGTGACACTGCCCAGAACCCACCGTCCACGTCAGCATCTGTGAGCCCTGCAGGGGTCTGAGCTGGGGGCGCTGGACTGCAGGCAAAACCTCTGAGGAGCAGGGACAGCCCTGAGGGCAGCCCCAGGGTGCCCACTCTGAGCTCAGGGTCCCCGAGGTGACAGGGCACCCCCACCCTGCTCTCCTGGCACCCGACCTCCCGGCTGGCGCCCAGTGCACAGGCTGCCAGAGGTTCCTGTTTGCATTCCAGTCCCACCCTGGCCTGCGCTGGGGATGGCCAGGCTCCCAGATGCTCCCGAGTGCCACCTGCCTCAGGCGCCTGGCTCCGGCCCGCACTCCTCCTCCCTGCACCCATCTTTCCCACCCCATGTGTCATTCAAAGTCTTGCTGAAATGCCTGTGGGTGTCTCATGAAGACTTCACAGGCCACATCAGTGCCGTCCCACCTCAGCCCTGGTGACACCCCACCCTGGAGCGTGTGTGCCCTACAGAGCCAGGAACCCAGGAGGCCCCTCAGAGTGCCCCTCTCAGTGACCAGCCGGAGCTGACGGGGTTCTGCTGAGTGGGAGACCAGACCCAACGCCACACACCCTGCATGGAGAGGCCGGAGAGCAGAGGGTGACATGTGCCCCAAGACCAGGTGTGCATGGGTGGAGAAGCACTGGGTGAGAGCAGTGTGGCAGCAAGGGGACTCCAAGGCCAAAGGCTCGCTCTGCTGCAGAGGTGGTCCCGGCCGTGGAGACAGGCCCCCAGAGCACTGGGACTAGGCAGCTGGGGCTGGGCTCCAAATCCCTGTTCTGTCCAAAGGCCCTCATTGAACCGCTACCCTGCACACCTCGGCGGCACACACCCCACACCAGCAGAGGCAGCCACCAGGCCGTGAGCTCAGGTCAGAGAAACGCAACAGCTTCTTGCTGAGTTGCTGTAAGTCACAATCCCGGGACCAGGTGCAGAGGACAGGCCCTGATGGGCAGGCTGTAACCCAGAGGCCGCGCCATGGCCAGGCCTGGCGGGACTCAGACCTCCTGGCACGACCAGCCTCTTCCATCCTCTGCAGTGAGGGGACTGGAAGTCTGCGGAGGCCGTGCTAGCCTGGGAGGACACAGGAGCTGCTAGAGGCACTCCTGACTCTGTCCATCCCTCCCCATAAAACCCCTGGGGTTCGCTCCAGCCTCAGCCCCACAACCAGCCCCTTCCCCTGAGCTGAGGGCCTGTGCACACCCCTGGGCCCTGCCCCTGCCCCTGCCCCTGCCCCTGGATGACACCGTCCTGTCTTTACAGCTCAGCCCTGGGCCCCAAAGGTCGGGAGTAGGTGGATGGATGTGACACCGGTGAGGAGCTACCTGTGCTCCCAACACCCTAGACTCTACAAGGGGAGCCCGTGGCCTCCAGCCTCAGCCCAGCCCATGCCTGGGACGCAGCAGGTGCCTGTTAGTGTTTATGCAGCAGAAGAGCCTCTGAACCTGGGTTTCCCCACCTGCAACATGAGGAGCCGGGAGGAGGAGTGTCCCCTATAGATAACACAGGCTGGGGCCTCCAACCCTCCCAGCCCAGTGACTGCAGGGAGCTGGCATTCAGCCCTGGGCGTAATGGATGAACGGCCGAGTGACCCACAGACAGCCCGGGGGACAGAGGCCCCACTTGCAGCAGCCTTACCCCAGGCAGGGCCCAGTGCTCAGAGAGAGGGAACTTCACCACCAGCACTTCCAGCATCTTCTTTATGCTCTTCCTGCAGATGGCTCCTTCCTCGTTCCACTTCCACCTGTGGAGGGAATGGCCGTGGCTGCCCAGACCGCGGCGTGGCTCCATGCTGGCCTGTACCCACGGCTGCCCAGACCACGGTGTGGCTCCACCCTGCCCTGCACCCACGGCTGCCCAAATCCCCGTGTGGCCTCCACCTTGGCCTGCACCCATGGTTGCCCAGACCCTGGTGTGGCTCCACCATGCCCTGCACCCACGGCTGCCCAAATCCCCGTGTGGCCTCCACC